TGACACATTGACATTTGAGATTACATTCCTTGTGACACATTGACATCTGAGTTACCATTCCTGGTGACACATTGACATTTGAGATTACATTCATTGTGACACATTGACATCTGAGATACCATTCCTGGTGACACAATGACATTTGAGATTATATTCCTTGTGACACATTGACATCTGAGATACCATTCCTGGTGACACATTGACATTTGAGATAACATTCATGGTGACACATTGACATCTGAGATACCATTCCTGATGACACAATGACATTTGAGATTATATTCCTTGTGACACATTGACATTTGAGATTACATTCCTTGTGACACATTGACATCTGAGATACCATTCCTGGTGACACATTGACATCTGAGATATCATTCCTGGTGACACATTGACATCTGAGATATCATTCCTGGTGACACATTGACATCTGAGATATCATTCCTGGTGACACATTGACATCTGAGATATCATTCCTGGTGACACATTGACATTTGAGATAACATTCCTGGTGACACATTAACATTTGAGATTACATTCCTTGTGACACAGTGACATCTGAGATACCATTCCTGGTGACACTTTGACATCTGAGATATCATTCCTGGTGACACATTGACATCTGAGATATCATTCGTGGTGACACATTGACATCTGAGATATCATTCCTGGTGACACATTGACATTTGAGATAACATTCCTGGTGACACATTGACATCTGAGATATCATTCCTGGTGACACATTGACATTTGAGATAACATTCCTGGTGACACAATGACATTTGAGATTATATTCCTTGTGAAACATTTTCACGAGATTGTGTATTAATACTAACTCAACACCCAATAATATTTAATGTTTTACCACCTCGTGTGCGGGTTCTTTGCCAATTTAAAATTACACGATTCGTGTAACACAGGAACAATTTTTATTATTTACATTGCATATATAAATAGAAACAAGAATGTACACCGGTCAATGTTACACATACGATGCCACACTTGTAACCATAGTTTATTTGGGTGCATAATTTAGTTATGCTTGGTGTAGTTCTCGTCTCTGCTAGTATCTTCTGCCTCAGGCTCGTGACACAGCTACGTGCAAGGATGGATGCATGATGATTGTCGATTGGACCATTACAAAGATGTCATTGCTGCATTGCATTGTGGGATATTTGTATATAAGTAAAGACGCTTTTAGGGGGCGCTCGCAGGTGCACCTAATTCCGCCGCTGCATTGTGAATCATTACAGAGACACGTGTCAGTCTGTCTGTTTTCTTCAAATAGGTATCGCGTGGTGCAGTTATAATAGCAATAACATCGGGAATGTTGATGAGTGAATAAATATATATTATCAATTTTTTCAAGAATCTTACTAACCTGTATACCGTATCAGCAATGATAATATTAGTAACATGGTCTGTGTGCGTGGATCATATCTATGTAAAACATACTCCTAATTTAGTAGATCAAGGTTTCCTAACTTGGCGAAAAGATAATCTAGTGCAATAAGTCATGTTAATCTTACAAAATCCCTTTATTTACGACGTAATTAATACCACCAGGAAAGTTGCCGCTACAAAGAAGGCTGCATTAATCAATTCATCGAAACACTGTGATGTTATAACCTATATAATGGTATTTTATGACCAGCGAGTTTCACCCCCACCTTCACTACGCAAGGCATTGGCATCACTCCGCCCACCTCTTCCCCTTGAGTATGCTCTTGTACGTTTAGCATTGACAGTCAACTCGGGTCAGTATTGATTTCAACTTGAAACTGCGATAAAAACGAAATTGTTGAATAAATACAGAAATGCGCTTTCAGTCAGAGAAAGTCTCGTTGTTATTATACTACGGAAACGAGTTATTTCTTTATGTTGTCTTTGTCATTGATTTTATGAAACCTTTCGCTAAGCGTGTTATGTGGAGTCATTGTGTCGTCACAGAAATCGCTGACCATCGGTGTAGAAGACGCCGACCTGCAGCGTCAATGATGTGGAGTAAAGATATTTTTCTACAACATATTACACAAACAAACATCGAATCTTACTAAGCGCACAAATAAATTCTAGATAACGTAGAAAGCTAAAATGACCGAAAACCTTCGTAATAGTATTTATAGTACGCGTTTTTTTTTAATACGACTAAAATGTCGAGTCGCGTGATTAGGTAGCCCCCTCCCTCTGCCAACAATGACAACACTCTAACGACTGAAGTCGATTGATATTGTAACACGGACGTCAAAGGGATGTACACCGTGTATATACCGACAGCTAGTCAGTTCAGGAAGTATATATTCTCACTCATAATTATGATTGTACGGGTGACCTTCATTGCACAATGGGTAGCTGCAATCTAGCTAGATTTAGCGAGGATTTATTGAATTATATTCTTTCAATTTCACGGATGACGTCAGAATACTACACGGACAATCGGTTACAAGCGGCACACCATTGAGATGAATTGGCATTATGCCTCTGTGTATTGAGACCAGATAGACGAGCTATTAACCAAAGTTGATTATTTACGCCGACTCGTTTTCAATATTTATTTATCTTTTAAACAGTGCATGAAGTAAGTGAACGCACAGCTGACTAAGTTGGCAGCTAAGTCAATTCTACTCTGCGCAAATCTTATGGGTGGTTCGTGATAATTAGAATATAGATGCAAGAATTAAGAGTGCGCCAGTGACGAGTACTTGTCTTACAAGAAAATGCAATTAATGCGTGGTATGTTTATGCACTAAGGTATGTTAGGTACGAGTTAAGCCTGCCGGGAAAATTACTGTTTATCGTTGAGAGCGTTTGGATGGAGAAGCGCCCAGAACTTAGGGGGCCTTAATCTGTAATGCAGTGGCTGGGGTTCGACTGGTGAAATTGTCAACTACAATGAGGGCGCTGCATCCTAATTTACCGACTGGGCATCATTTAAGCAGAATTATTAACAAAACTTCTGGGTTACTGTCCCCCCTATCGCATGTACTGCATGCTGATTGCCATTCTATATGTATGGTATTTAATTAGTTATAATCTTATTCACTATTATCATATACCGCGCACTGCAATGACGCGTTCTAATTGGTCGATCAGTAATACTTGCTGTCCCCAACTATCAGACGCCAACTGAGCGATGATTGGGGCAAAGCACGAACGCATTTGTTCATGATTGAAAACGCAGGTAATTTTCAGCTGCAAAATTTCCTGTTGCCTATATTATCACGTCGTTGTTGCGTTTTCAGATTACTCGTATTAAATACATGCGTCCCTGACACGCTAGCCGCACTGTTGATTTCTTTCTTCTGAAGCGTGCCACTAAACGTATATATAAAATTCGGAGTATTATAATTGAAATAAAGGGCTACACACAGGTCATTTTTACATGTTAACAGTTATCGTACAGGGTTGGTCGACTGCGTGTTTGTTTAGTACACTGTTAAATGACATTTTGTCTGGATTTAGTGGATGGTCGTTCGTTTCTTTGTGGTTTTCATGCGTAACTGAAATAGTTATGCAGATTTGCAAAGCCACGTGCATAAGATGTTTTTTTTTTATTATATTCCATTGTGGCGTCAGATAGACGGGACTCGGATTTCTAGTGACGCCCACTGGCATAGTTACACCGTATTGTGTATTTACTTGCAGCCGCTGTTAACTATTATGGAAATATCATTTCTCATTTATGAATAGTTTACAATATCTCGCGTTGTTTTAACGTGAGCATGCATTCCGTCATGTTCTAGAAAATACGTAATTACGTCATGGGTTATGCTGTAAATGTCACTATTGTGTTTCTAATCCCGTCAACGATGGAAAACGATAACATTTTTTCTTCATAGTAACTACCGGTGAGAGGAGGTTAGTTTCACTTCAATGAGCTAAAACCGGCTACACGTTCTAAAAGCAATAAATCGCGCCATCTAGCGACTGTGACGTATGTTAGTGACAGTAAGAAGATATTCTGGTTGTTGACACTTCAGTTAAATTCAGATTCTAGTAATTCATTCAGTGATCCGGATTCGCTATAATGGCGTGTTTTATAGTAATGATTCTCACACGGCGTTGATATCGTTATGGACCAGCACGACAGTAAAAAAAAAAGTATCATCATCCCTCAAGTATGAGACAGTCGATGTTATTGATTAAAAGCGGTCACATAATCGTTTGATATTTATTGATAGTGACTTCCCCAGCGTATGTCCTGCCTCTGACGTGTATTTATACTGAAGTCATAACTTCTGGGGCAATTAGATTGTTGCAGACGATAACAAGATGGATGACACTTTCGATTGCGTTTCTCCGCAGGATTTAACTCAGATTTACTGTCTGGTTGTTCTCTATCGAGATAATAAAACAGTTGTCGGCCATGGCGAGGCCAATATATAAAAACTACCCTCCCCTCAGGCGAGGCCAATAAGTGTGTATTATTGCCTTTGTAGGATTTTTCTTCTAAATGACGACTACTGAAGACTCACTGGTTCCCGGCGGGTTATTTTTTTCGCAAACAGCAAGTAGCTAGTACTCATGTAGTTATTTTACTTGGCCGGAATTGCGGCCCTGGATTCACGCAACTGAGTTGTGTAATTTGAATACATTACAAATTTCGTTCTAAATAAACCTGTGTGTAACATTGCAATATCATCACGGTCGGATAGTCTGTCTGCTTAGACTTGATAATTGAAGTAGTTCTAATATTTCTAGCCGTTTGGGAGTAAAACGGAGTCCCTGTTTTATTTGAAGAACGACCATCGTCTGTGGTTAGAGCATATCCACCAACAAACCATGGGAACATGCTAGACCAATCAGTACGACTGAACCATTATTTAGTTACCGGTCTCTGGTACGCAATGGCATGACCGGTAACCAGCCACAGTCGTGAACGAAATTTCTTCTTTCAGAAACCGACGACACATATAACTATACATTCAATTATGTAGAATATACTAACGACCGTTTAATTTATTTATTTATTCTCTCAACATTTGCTTAATTCTCTCCAGGTAACAGCTCAGTGTTCCGCAGCGACGGGCAATGGGACATCACAGAGATGGAAATACAGAACAACGTCGAGTATTACCCCGATTCACCGGGAATTCCGTACACAGACGCTACCTTCATAATACATATGAGTCGTCGTCCGTTCTTCTATGTATTCAACCTAGTAATGCCGTGTGTATTAATCGCCGTTTTCACGATGATTAGTTTCTTCCTGCCGGCTGACTCGGGAGAGAAGGTCAGCTTTGGAATAACTGTGCTGCTGTCCTTGACGGTGTTTTTACTTCTAGTGGCTGAATCCATGCCTCCGACTAGTGATGTACCCGTAATTGGTAAGCCAAATTATGATATCTCTTGCCTGCGGAAGCGGTGGTTATCAAATATGTACGTTTTTAACTTTGATCATTGGTACAGGCGCGACATGTTTTTTATTCTCAGAAATTATTGATTTCAGATATTATTTATTTTTGATCCATATATTATTTCCAGGTGTCGAGCATCCTCTAATCGACGCCATCTCACCTAACGGATTCGAGACTTTACCATAAAATAAGTGTCACCGCTGGTGGCGCAAGAGTTATAAAAAAGGCGTTCTTCAAGGTGTATTAACTTTGCGTGTATCACGAGTAGCGTTAGCAATTTTAATAGTTACGTCAGCTGTGTGTTTTAAAGGCCCGCGAGTTATTGTCAGAACTCTCCATGCACGTGGCACACATGAGATAACTATGGTCACGTGGTGGTTATTGTCCAAATACGTTGTACCATAGCGTTTCACTCTCACGGTGTATATGCCGCAACCATAAACTAATGAATAAATATAATTCGAATAATGAATATAAGAAATAATAGTTAAGTCAAAATAGTCTGACTAGGATAATAGTGGCCTAGAATTTTTAGTAGTTACCCGGGGTCATGCAATTTCCAAATCGTATTTCACACTGCGATCTGTGTGTGGATTCACCGAAATATATATACATGTATTTGTATGACTATTTTAAGGATTAATACACGTCGCCTAGCAACGAGCTAGAGCGAACAAAATGGGGAATTTGATGACGTATTTGATGACAAACACATCACGTGACACCGAAACTTGCAAATGCTCTACCTAACTACATGTATATTTCATTTCAGGCCAGTACACTGCCGCCACAATGATAATGGTCTCCTTCTCTGTAACTATGTCGATATTAACTTTACATGTCCATCACCAAGGACCAAACTGTCGACCACTCCCACGATGGGTTCAACGCTACATACTAGGTTACCTCGCGAGATTATTGTTTTTCTGCCGTGACAAACAAATTCACAAACGACATCTACGGAAGGCGTCCGTGGCGTACCACCGCGGCCATCTTAGCAAACTGCACTACACGGAGACCTGTAACTCGTTGCTTAGTAACCAAGATGTGGAAGACAATGGGATTGTAGTGTCTATGAACGGGCCTAGTGACACTTTAAAAAGCGCTTCCTGTTCCCTGTCCCATGGCTGTATCACCCCTTTGAGCAGTCACAGTGTGTCGTCAGTGAGGCAAAATTTACAAACCGGGCGGGATCAGCTGAAGGTACTGAGCCAGATTTTACAGCAAGTGAAAGGACTGGCCGATAAGATGGAGCAGCGAGACAAAAAATATAAAATGCACAATGAATGGAAAGAACTGGCGGAGGTTGTCGACAGGTTGTTTTTAATTCTATATGTCTTTGGGACATTGGTAACAATGATGGTCATTGCGGCACAGATATCATTTTGAATTGGTGATATACTGTTGTTATCACGTATCTGTGACGAGTGTCGATCAATCACGTGGTACATGTACGTAACACTGTGAATTACATCCACGTGATTGAGTGTACTGTCATTCCCGTCCTGTGTATCATGTATAGGCTCACGCCAACCAGTACTGTAGTCGCAAGACCTGCTTCAAGTTCACATCTATATAGCTTACTTTAAACTTTTGGCACAGTGGCGAATATAACCTAGCAATTAATTGTATAGGATATGGGAGCATATATTAATCTAGTATGACAAGACCGGGATTGGACAACTTTCCTGTCAGTCGCGCCCTCTAGTGGTCAGATGCTTATGTGACGTTAATAACATGACGTAACGCGAATTGCATTTTGTCATTTTTCGGGTTTTCATAATATAGTGATGTTTTCGTCACAAATTGTTTTATTGACGGGCAACCCGAAAATCAAAAACTGCGGTGTCAGAATTCTGTACATTTCGACGCTAGAGGGCGCGATATATGGAAAAAGGTGCATTGACGTACTTACTGAGAGTGCGGACTGCTGTCAAAACAAGCCATATTAACTGCAGCTACAACACCGGTAGATCTATGTATTTGTTGTTTCATTATATCATGGGCATTTTATATTTCTTTTGAACATTTCAATTATTTCGCATTTCGGGTAAAGCAACAGAGAACACTGTAGACCATTAGGAATGCAATGCAACCATCACGTACACTATTACTAAATGAATCGACATTTTCATGAGGTTATGGGATAGCATAAGCGGTCTTGAAAATACATCATATTGTAAGGTTCGACTGCGAGGGACACGTCAGTCGAGAATCACACCAAAAACATGAAGATGACTCATTATTAAAGTCTGCGTTCAGAGCTGAACAGACTTTCTAAGATTAGGTTTATGATAAGAGTACATTTGTTACGCCCTTGGATCATAGCCTGGACATAGTTATTACTAAGGGTCCTAATCTGGACAACAATTACAACCTGGACAGATATGTTACCCCGGCTAACAGGAGCACATTTGTTACCAAGGACCACAAATTGGACACACTTGTTACCGTGGTCATAACCTGGACATATATATTACCCCGGGTTATGACTGGAATATACTTGTTACCCAGGACAATAAATTGGACAACATGTTATCCTGGGTCACAACTAATTTTAACAACCATGAATATTGAAAAAAAGAAAAACATTTTTTTTCGAAATAATGTAAATTGTGAATATGTCTGTTTTTGGATATTCTACCCACCCTATTCTCGCTTTTATATAGACCCTACTGTTTTTGTTTTTTTTCGTGATAATGTGCTTCGTAGATTAGTATATGTTCTTACAGTATACCTTCGCATTAATTCGCGCCCTCAATAGGCGAATCGCTTCTATGACGTAAGTAGGTGACACTGAAGGCCGCTGAGGGCGTCGGTGATTAATCTGTGATCATTTCTAAATGACGAACTACCACACAGTGGCCTATTTTGAATGATTTTTTTTTTCACCCATCTATGTCATTTCGACGTCACAGAAGCACACTGTCACAAGAGGGCGCGACCTACGGGAATCGTATATTGCATGTTATGTTGTCGGCAATTGTTATAAACGCGTCAAAAATTTCATAAATGAACTAGCGGTAAATCAAATTTCGTTTCATTTGAAACATACGGTGGACGACTTATATGGGATTTCTTTGCATGCAGTAATGGTTCTTGTGGGGTATGTCTGGGGTTGCTCAGTTGTAGGTATGTTCACGGGTACGGGTATACGGGTTGTAGGCATGTTCGGGTCAGCTCGGCAGTGGAAATGTTCGGGTGTGGGCATGCACGGCAGTGGATATACGCGGGCTTGAGCGTGGTCTAGTTTGGGTTTGAAGTTTAGGTCCGTGTGGGTATAGGCGTGATCTGGTGTCCAACTACTTGTGGTATATTCTATTATATTAATGCTCTGATTTGGACATGGTAGAATCTGGGTTTACTCAGGATCGGGCATACTCGGGTATTTTCGGGTGCAGGCATGCTTAGGTTGCATATGTTTGGTTTTGGTTTACTCGCGCTTACGCAATCTCCGGTAAGGTATCATCTCGATTGCTGAGTGAAATTCGCAATATACGACCGTTTTATTAGTATTAGAGGTCTCACATGTGTACAGTGCACATCGTCTTTCAGGAATTCTCGGGATTTGGTATTCTCAGATTCGAGATCGATGTTGGATTTTGGTATCTTCAGATGTTTGCATACCCTGGTTTTGGTATCATATGTTCAGTGTTTTTTTTTTTTTTCAGGTTCAATTCAATTTTGTATATTTAGAAAAACAAACAAACAGAGATTCGCAAATTTGAACTCAATATCTCATCTCATCCGTATTTATATCTATTTAATTTGTTTTGATATAATCGTTAGGAGTCATTTCTGGCAATAGTCAAGCAATCTTTCGAAATGGAAAATTTATTTTTGGAATATCTGCTTAAAACCAAAGATAGTTTTGGTAGCTCTATATAGCAATATATCAACTCTTTGGCACTACGCCATGTCTGAGCCATCATATAATTGTAATATTTATATGCAAAACTAATATATCAAGTTATCTATGTTTATTTGTGATATAAACTTTAAAAAAAAGGAAATTAACAATGCAATATTGGAATCCCGTTGTATAGATCCATTATTTATACATTTATTGTAGTATTGTGATTACTGATAATTGTCGGACTCGGAATTCTTGAATTTCAAATTTGACAAATGCTATTTCTTATCATAGGATTTTCCAGTAATATAATATCGTGTTGTATTTCTTTATTTACTCAGTCTGTGATTAAAAATGCTAAAACTAGTAAATACAATTAAAACCGCTTTGTTTTTTTAAAAAAAGTGATTCTCGCAAGATTAATCTCGTTTACCCGGAAAAACATTTAGATCTCGCGTCTTTGAATTTGAGTAACCTCATAAAAATTTGATTTTATTGATTACCAAAAATTCATTCCCATTTCGCGATATTGAAGTCGGGAACAATACACCTCGATCTAGCGAGATGTCACTGGACTTCTAAAGATGATGACTTCTAAAGACCGAGAATTGTGAATACATTTTGGCACTTTGGAATTGTTCTCCAGTTTATCGGAAAATTCGAACATGAATATGTTTCAAATGTTTGTACCATATACGAACAAAACGATCAAAAATAAAAAATAAAAAAATACGCTTTGATTACACAATTCAATACTTTTTTTTATTTTGTACAACTTTATTATATGTGAAAGTACATTGTCATTATGGAAGTGATTTTTTTTTATATTTGATCTAGCAATGTCCCGTTTTGTAAAACCATGTATAATGTACCTGTGTTGTAGCATGGAAACACGCCGACATTACATCGTGAATAAAACAATGACTTGCTGCTTATATATTCATATATTGTATTTATTTCTGCTTATAACGATAATATTAACATGTCAAGGCCACGCCGATTTTCAAATGTATTTTAATATTTCGCAGTCGCCACACAGCGCGGGCATTGCGAAAAGGTACGTATGAAGCGCTAACATATTATCATCTGATATCGTTGGGCGGCTGTGAACCCTCGTGCCCAATAACGTGGCATCTGATTGGTCGAGCGGTTTCAGCTTCATCTACATATTCTAATTGTATATAAACCGGAAATGACCCACATATTATGGAAATTGCAGTACAGGGCTCATACCACTAATTGAATTTCCATAGACGACAATGTTAACATATGACGAGATTGCTATATGAAAATGATGAACAAAGTTGAAAGCATGGCTCAAAAATGGGAAATCAACATGCCAGTAATCAACCATATGAAAAAAACTAACTTGTTGGCCAGCTCAAACTCTTGCAAATCTCAGGTATACAAGACACACCTACGTTATTTGGATTGCACCTAGAGAAATCACTGGAAAAACACCAAGATTAGAACATCCAATTATACACAGAATAAACCCACAGGTACACAGCCGCTTAGTAGTAAACAAAAGACCACATGTTGGTCTCACCTTTGACCCAGGTGATTACGCCCTCAAACAGGGAGCACCTGAGAAAAAAATATTTAAAAAATTTCATTGGTTCTTGCAAGGCATTTAAATTGATTAGTGGCATGAGACCTACAGGGAAGAAATGTGTTAACTCCATATTGGATTTTGCAAAGGATTGTAGGATAGAAAATTGAACTGTAGAGGGCGTTCGTGGGGAAACACAGATCTTTTACATAGAGCCCTATGTTTAAATCAGCTGTTTCCCTCTCCTGTTTCCAAGCAACGTTTATGGTTATATCGTTGGAGTTTCCATTAATTTTACTGGGAAGATTGTTTTGAAGTTGTTGTTTTTTTAGATTTTTTACTGTTTTGGGCTGCAAGCTGTCTAACTGTAGGAAACGTAATGACAGGTGAGTGTATCTGATTTCTACTTATTTGTTCTTTCTTATTTGTATTTTATTGTTTTCCATGTCACAGTTGAAAAAAAAAATGCATCTATCTTGTCTACTAAAAAGATTTGGTTGAATTGAAATCAGTTTTAGAATACATTTTAAGTTTGTGAGTTTGACAATTCATCTCGATATCTCGATATTCCACCCACACAATAATGCATCATAAATTCATTATTTGTGAAGATAACGAGCTTTTCGGCACCGATCTTAATGGTATAATAATTCGAAGTTAATTAGTCACGTGCCTCCTTTAAGCAGTGTATCATACGATTGTCGCGGGTTGAAAAATATAAGTTAGTTTTTAACTGAAGTGTAATGGATTGAAATGAATCTATGTACATGTACCAGACGTGAGAGATGTAAAGAGACTCTTAGATTGGTCAGTCTGATTGGTACTAAGTTTATTCATTCACGACGTGTGGGGGCAAAAAATGCAGCAAGGTGTTGCATGCAGGGAACAAATTATTGTGGGTACTCGTAGATATGGCGTTCACGGCAATACAAACAGGACACTCCGAACACTGGCGGCGCTCTTATTTCCGCTACTCTCAGAACG